GCTATATTTGCATGAACAAGGAACAAAATTTCCTTTTTCTGTATTAGTTGTCACAGGAAAGTACTTATTCTAAATTATGAACATTCAATATTTGCTTGATATTTTGTCTTGAACTTCAGTCAGCATTGAGTTTTACAGATAAGAAATAGTCCATTTGTTTCCTATATATTACCTGAAAAATGCATTTTCAGATTATATGGGAAGATGGAAAAATAGAGGGACATAAATTAAGACAGCAAGATGTAAGGTTTCTTCTGTCTTTATGCTATAAAATATTAAGCAATTGTCAGATAGTCATCACCATGCATCCCACAAAAATTAGTACAAAGGTGATGATGACGATCTTTCAGAAGCTGTTTCTAGCATTAAAAGCCATTTTTATAGCATAACCTTATGCTGCTAAAACAATAAATATGGATGTTTTCCATGGCTCTTGAGTGCTTGTGAGAAACTGGAATGTTAATGCTTAATGACTCGAACAATCTACCATTTGCAAAAGCAGCAGAGTGCTTTGCTGATGATGTGCAAAGTAACCACCCAGGGGCAGAAGGGGTGCACATCCACCACCACCACCTGAGGCTACAAGCTGGGTGTTGAACAAGATAAGGGAAGAGGCTGATAAGAGGCAAATCCTTTGAGGTGGGATAATGCTTTTTATCATACCAATGTGTTGCCAGATGAAGAAATGCTTGCACCTGGTGGGTTAATACAATAATAATTTTGCAAAATCATTAGCTTATTGAACTACACAATCAAAACTACAATAAACATTAACTAAGGAAAGGAATAAGAAACTACACTTCACTGATCTAAGGACTCTAATGAACTATGCCAGTTATGCCAACTTCTCTTCTAATTTGGAAAGTAGCACCAAGTTCATTGAGCAGTCAAATATAACTTCGGGGTCACTGACCACCAGAGACCACTGGAGGGACCCTCTGGGACAAGAGAATGCATGTGCTGATGGGAGGAAAAATATGCTAATGACTTTGGGGAAATAGTTATCATATGTATCTTTCTTCTGCGAAAATGCCATTCCTCTTTCTCCCGGCTAGCTGATGACAGGGGTGGGGGGGTGGGGGGGGGCAGATTCCCCCTGGAGCTCCGTTTGAATCCCAGGTGTCAGCTATTTCGGCACATTATAAAGCACAGGGAAGCACACGTGTCCCAGGGTAACTTTATTTGATGGTAAACTTCCCCTTTTCCTCTCCCGGGACCCTAATCAAGGGGCAAACAAAAACTTATATGTGTGGGCGGGTCTCAGGGGAAGGTACAATCTTTAACAAATCAGGAGAATTGGGAGTAAAAAAACAGGCGGGGATTACAATGTATGAACCAATAAAATTCCAAGGGAAGAAAAACAGTTTCAGTAAACTGCTAAAGTTTGGAGAAATAGAAACTAGAAACTAGTTGACGAAATAACTGGGAAAAGGCAGGGACAAAAAGGAAACAGCATAAACTACCAAATTACAAATCAAACCATAAACCTACTAATAAAACAAAAAGCACAACACAACAGGAAAACCTCTAAGTATGTTTGTAAAATCTAGCATATAAACAGGAGCATTTTCTGTACTCAGCATGCAAGACAGGTGGAGCTATCCCCCTTGCATCTGGCATTGCAATAAATAATGCCTGCTCCATAATACTAAAATTATAGTGATAGAGAGTTTATTTTCTTGCCATTTTTGGTAACAAATGTCCTTACACAAGTGGTTCAGCTGTGAAAACTCCCCTCTAGGGAAGTATCTGAACATTCTCATGTAAGACTGAAGGTATTAATCACTTCTGATGTGCCATAATTGACTCAGCTGCGCTGACATAAGAGGCAAATCTAATGTCTTTGAAGGTATCTAAAGTTTCTGGGAAGTGTCCCATGATCCACAGTATTACATCATCCAGTGTAAAACTCTCTGCCTTAGGAGAGGTACCTGGGCGTTCCCACCTGGCTTGAGTGTATATTAACCCACTAGACTTTGTGTTTCATGGGCTTTCCCCCACTCCCAGTGGGTCAAGACTGTGACCATCACTTTGACCAATGAACATCGAAATTGCAACAATCAAGTCTTGTCACTGGATCCACGGGTGGTCATTATGTATCTTTCTAATCTTATACTTTCTTTTCCCTTATACATTTTCTTAAGTGTTATTTTTATGCTTTTATATTGAATTTCTAACCAAAATGGCTACATTTTAAAATTTGCCAAGTACGTCATTGTCGCTATGATATTTTATGAAAATCCTTTTGATAGGATTTTCTCCTGAGAAGCTGAGGAGCCTCAGGAAAGAAATGTAAATAGTAACTATCTGCTGCTGTGGAGTGCAACAGGTGCATCTTTGATTGGTCCATGTGAGATGTTTCTACTTAATGACCAATCATGGTTCAGCTGTGTGGAGTCTCTGAGAGTCACGAGCTTTTGTTATCATTCCATTCTATTCCTTTCCAGCTTTCTGATGGATCCTTTCTCTCTATTCTTTTTAGTATAGTTTTAGTATAGCATTTTAATATAATATAATATCATAATATAATAAATAAGCCTTCTGAAACATGGAGTCAAGATTCTCATCTCTTCCCTCATCCTGGGACCCTCGAACACAACCATACTTCATTCTACCTTAATGTTCTAAAGTTTGCAAGTAAAGGTTTGTTATTGAACCTCCTGGCAATGTTGTTGTTTCTCCTGTGCACCTCCCAGAGTAAATCAAACAACCTACCCCTAAACCTGCCAAGCAGACTGGGGCATAACAGTGCCCTACAGGGATCAGCCTGCAGTACTACTTAAGCTATGATTCAGGCACCTTATGGAAAATTTAGAGCTAGCATGGGGGGAGGAGGGGGGGGAAGAGTGGGGAAAATCTCTGCAAAGAAAGAGCTTTACTCACTGGAAAAATCAGCATCAAGAAAGCACAGGCAATTGATGATTATGAATTATTAATAGCATACTTCACATACTTTGGTTTCTCTGAAACACAACAAAGAAGTTTTATTTATCTTGGTATAAATAATTATCAATATAAAAGTTTTAGGATTAAAAGACCATAACCCCACACCACACACTTGTTTATAAAGATAAAAATCTTAAAGTCCCTCATTCAGGGTTCATAATGTTCTGAAATGTCAGCCTGCTGATTTTGTTTGAGTGAACAATTTCTTTAGCCTCTGATGGCAGGGAGAAGATAAAGGTACTAGGAGCTACCTTTGAACCACACCCATGGATCTGAAGGCAACACAGTGCTTTCTTGCCACAGCATGCCACAGGACCTGAGGAATTTGAAAATTCTCCAATCAAAATCTAATTCCAAGTTGCTTCTCTCTTAACAATGTAATTTCTTATGGGAGTGTTACTAAAATATTTTTATTCGTCAACAAAAGTTTAACAAAAGTATACAGTATTTCAGAGTTTAGCAAACAAGTTGCTTTTTCTGATTTACTTAATTATTTTTGCAAAATTGACTGTGCAGCATGTGATCACAGATGTCATGAACTCTGCCTCACCAGTGAGTAAGCTGGGGGTGCACAAAAAGTTGTGTGGGACAGCTGGGACAGCTGACCCAAACTGATCAAAAGGGATATTTCAGACCATATGGCTTGTGCTCAGCAATAAAACTAGGGGGGAGGTTGGTGGAGGTATTGCTGCTCAGGGACTGGCTGGGCATAGGGCAGTTGGTAAGCCACTGTTTTCATTTGCATCACTTGTCTTTCTTGGGTTTTATTTTTCTCTCTCTGCTATTTTTTCCTTTTCCTTATTATTAAACTGTCTTTATCTCAACCCTCAAGTTTTCTCCCTTTTACTCTTCTGATTTTCTCCCCCATCTCACTGGGGAGGAGTGAGTGGCTACATGGGTCTTAGTTGCTGGCCTGGGTTAAACCACAAGTCAGTCATGGAGGTAAATGAAATTTACAGAAGCGAGCATCTCTATTCATAGAGAGTAATAATATACATGGGAAATACTTATACCAAGGAGAAAACAAAACTTTATGCATCCACTTTCTAATTGCTCACATCCTGCTTTCTCACAGCTAGGCAATGGATGAGATAAAAACTGAACCAACAAAGACAACAGTGAAGAACCATAAACAGATTTTAAATCAAATGTTAACAGAAGTAAAGATGCTGTCTTTAAAGCAATTCTTAAGGAACATAACTTTAAATCTACACATTTCCATCCAGACAGGCTTCAGTCAAAGGGTCACAGGTCCTGCTAGCAAACATGCTTCAGCATGGGCTTCTCTCTCCACAGGTCCTGCCAGAAGCCTGCTCCAGTGTGGGCTTCCCACGGGGTCACAGCCTCCTTTGAGCAATTGCACCTCTTCCAGGATGTGGTACTCCATGGGCTGCAGATGCATCTCTGTCCATGGCCCTCAATGGACTGCAGGGGGGAGAGCCTGCCTCACCCTGGGCTGCAGGGGAATCTCTGCTCCAGTGCCTGGAGCTCCTCCTCCCTCTCCTTCTTCCCTGACCTTGCTGTCTGCAGTTGTTTCTCTCACATGTTCTCACTCCTCGCTCCTGGCTGGTGTTACCCAGCTTCTTCCCCCCTTCTTAAATTTGTTGTCCCAGAGGTGCTACCACCATCACTGATTGGCTCAGCCTTGGCCAGCACCAGGTTGGTGTTGGAGCCAGCTGACATTGACTCTATCAGACATAAGGAAAGCTTCTGGTGTTTTCTCACAGAAGCCACTCCTTCAGCCCCCTCAACCTTGACATGTAAACCCCTTACAATCATAAAGTAGTTGTAGAATACAGGTCTCTTTCTTAAATTCAGTAGATTACAAAGTGTCTTAGGAACAGAGTGCATGTGCTCTGACCCACAAACACTAGGAATTCACCAATGAAGTCTTAAATGCTCCATTATGCACTGAAATTCTTTTTAGAAGCCGGTTTTCTAATAGAGCAGAAAGGAAGATGCTCTGAAAAAAAAAGCAAGACCTTTTATGATTGCTTAATAGTTATGGTCAATTTATTTTTCTTGCTTTTCTGACAAAAAGCCACAACAGAAAGTTCATTTTATATTCTTTATTGTATGGCAAAGTTCATTAAAGATGGGGTAGCTTGTAGACAAGTTGCTCAAAATTTGTGTCTAGGTAGAGATCGATTAGCAATCTGACTTATTTCAAAGCATAGGCTTGTCAAACTAGGCCACAAAAACAATACTGTGTACAAGTAATAACTGAATAAGAGCTGCAGGTTCAGGAATTTCCAAATATTACACATCTTGAGATCTCATCAGGAAATAAAAATAAAATCAAATAAAAGCAGTCACAATATAAAATAGCAGCTCCATGTAGCTTTTCCAAGTTTTAATTTTATTCACAGTATCACTTAGTTCAGTTTGCCTCATTCTTTGAAGCTTCATCAAAGTTTTCAACAAGATCTAGAAAAAGAAAAATGTTGAAATTCAAGTCTGACCTACTTCAGCTTTGCCAATTCCCTTGCATCCCCCCCCCCCCCCATGATTTCAAAAAGGTTAAGTGTCACATATCTTCTGTCTTTACAAACCAGTGAGGCACAGCCTTTTCCTAATTACTCTCCAGTTACCTGGGAGTGAGAAGGGAACAAGGTATAGCCTTGCCAAGGAAAATCTTGGGAGCGCCCAATGCCTGGATTGCAGTTGCAGAATGAATGGCATCTGTCAAAAGCATTCTGTGAGAATGTGGCAGCGGCATACAAGAAACCACTTACATCATTAGCTTCTGAGGCCTAGACAAAGGATTGTCTAGAAACTCCCTTCCCCCCCCCCCCCCCCCCAAAAAAAAAAAAAAAGTTCCAGGTCATATTAAGTGGTTACATGGCAAAAAATCTAAAATCAGCTTATAAAATACAAACCAAATAACATTTAAGAGTTTCATGATTCATTCTTCTTGTTCAAACAACTAAGTTTGAAATAGTTAATTATAATGCACAATTTTAGGAGCATTTAACTTCACCATATCCACAACAGAGCAGTGATACTGAAAAGGCAGTTTCTTAGCAGTCTTCTTATTGACTATTAAATAATTATCTTAGCCATAGCTATTATTCCTACATGGGACAAAAATGCCCGCTGAAACCAATGATCCATCTAAGTCTCATACGGTATCTGAAAACAATGCTCACAGAAATTCTATAAAAGAATCACAGAATGGCCTGAGTTGGAAGGGACCTTAAAGATCATCTCATTCCAACCCAGACATGGGCAGGGACACCTTTTACTAGACCAAGCTCCTTCCAACCTGGATTTGAACACTTCCAGGGATGGGGCAGCCACAGCTCCTCTGGGCAACCTGTGCCAGTGCCTCACCACCCTCACAGTAAAGAATTCCTTCCTAATCACAGAATTACAGAATCATTCAGGTTGAAAAAGACTTCCAAGACCATTGGGTCCAACCTTTGACTGAATACTACCTTGTCAACTAGACCAGAGCACTAAGTGCCACGTCCAGTCATTTCTTGAACACTTCCAGGGATGGGGACTCCACCACTTCCCTGGGCAGTCTGTTTCAATGCTTAACCACTCTTTCTGTGAAGAAATTCTTCCTGATGTTCAACCTGAACCTCCCTTGGCACAGCTCAATGCCGTTTCATCTCATCCTGTCACTTGTTACCTGGGAGAAAATGCTAACTCCCACCTCGCTAGAACCTCCTTTCAGATAGTTGTAAAGAGTGATAAGGTCTCCCCTGAGCCTTCTTTTCACCAGGCTGAGCCCCCCCAGCTCCCTCAGCCACTCCTCATAAGACTTGTGTTTTAGACCCTTCCCCAGCTCCATTGCCTTTCTCTGGACACGGTCCAGCACCTCAAAGTCTTTCTTGGAGGGGTCCAAAACCAGACACAGTATTCAAGGTGCGGCCTCACCAGTGCCAAGTACAGAGAGACAATATCTAAAGAGTATCTAATTAATATTTAATGCATATCTACCCTCTTTCAGTTTAAAGCCGTTCCCCCTTATCCTGTCGCTCCATGCCCTTGTAAAAAGTCCCTCTCCAGCTCTCTTGCAGCCCCCCTTCAGATACTGAAAGGAATGACCAGTCAATACTCTTACTGTCCTTGGCCCAATCTTATACTACATATATTATGTCTCAGCAAAATTCACTTCCTTTTCCTCCACTGCATGCTTCTTCTTACCCGGAACTTCATCATCGTCATCAGCATCACCACCAGTAGCGAGTGGTGCTTTTCCATCCATAGCTGCAAGAGCAAGCAGTTCAAAAGCATCAGTCAAGCTCACCATAAGCATCTTGATTACAAAGGTGCTTTGCTTTTTGAAAATATTATCAGAGTCTGAGCTAAATTTCAATTTTCTATCCAGTTCCCCTGCTAAATAAAAATCTACAACTAATTATATGTTACTAATAATGCTCAAACAGACCAGCTGAAAAATGAGAAGATGCATGCCAAACAAGTTTACTACTCACCATTTTGGTTCTAGATATACAGAGTGCTTTGCATGGTAATAATTTTCAGCTAAAAGCACAGAGACTGACTTTAGCAATTTCTCTTAAAAGCAGCTTGGTTTATTGATTACTCAGTGGTTCTTGAGGCTTACATATTTTACAACATTAGCAAGTTATAAGGAAATCTTAGGATCTTATGATCCTAGGCCTTCAAGAAAACTAAGGTGCAATTGTGAAGCTGCAAGTAGACACATGACTAGAGACAATTAAAGATATTGTTCCCTGGCAAAGCCAGAGGAATATGGAACTGGATACACAATTTTATACTTCAGTGATTAAGGTAACCACATGTCCTGGTCCACATCTCTACTGACTCAGTAATTTCTTAACTATTCCCATTATATTTGCCAGTGCTAGTGAGACTTAACCCTGTCCATTGTAGTAGACCAATGAGCATCTGTGAAACTGAAGCAGTATAGTGCTAAGAATAGATATCTCAAGTCCTGGGATGTTTGTGCCACTACTTTTACTGCTATTCTTAACTGTACTACCTTAATAATATGAGACAGCTTAGCCCATGACCGCCATTTAATCCTAATTAATCCTTCTCCGTTTTCAAGAAAAGCATGAGCAAAGAGATGGGTTTATACTAGACTTCTGAAATTGCTGCATCCCGATATCTAGAGAACGAAAATAGATGAATGCATAAACTTTGTTCTGAAAGGGCTTAAGGACAAGGTCACCACTCTCAGTGACCCATGGAGGTCCATGGTGGAGCAGAGATCCACCTGCAGCCTGTGGAGGACCCCACACCAAAGAAGGTAAATGCTGGAAGGAGGCTATGACCCTGTGAAAAGCCTGTGCTGGAGCAGGCTCCTGGCAGGATCTGCAAAGAGAGGATCCCATGCTGGAGCAGGTTTGCTGGCAGGACCTGTGACCCCATGGGGGAACCATGCTGGAAAAGCCTGTTCCTGAAGGACTGTACCCCATGGAAGGGATGCTGGGGCAGGGGAAGTGAGGAGAAAGGAGTGGTAGAGACACAGCATTAGGAACTTACCACAAGCCCCATTCCCCCTTCCCCTATTGTCACTCAGGGGTAGAAGGTAGAAGAGTTGGGAGTGAAGTTAAGCCCAGGAAGAAGGAAAGGGTGGGGGGAAGGGGTTTTAAGATTTGTTCTTATTTCTTATTATCCTACTCAAATTTGATTGGTAATACATTCCATTAATTTACCCAAGTTAAGTCTGTTTTGCCCATGATGGCAATTGGTCAGTGATCTCCCCCTGTCCTTATCTCAACCCACCAGTCTTTTATTGTATCTTCTCCCCATCTTGCTGATGGATGGGATTGAGAGTACATCTTGGTGGGTACCTGGCAGCCAGCCAAAGTCAACGCACCACAGCAATCTGCAGGCAAGCTTAATGTGGCAGCATTTAGCCAGGCTTTTAGCACAGTTGAAAAATGGGCAAGCTATGGCTAAACCCTATAAATCCCTGCAACTGCATTTGTTGCCATTAAGATACACCTAGCTTATCTTAAGCATTATAACCTAAAGAGCTCTGTCCTAGGGTGACATTATGATGCTTGTATCCCCAATAGTCTGTTCTGTTTATGCTGGATGTTATATTCTGTGCCTTCAAGACTGGCTCTGACAGTGAAGGCGGGGAGAAGAAGAAGCACGGAGTTTTGTTATCAGCTGCACTCTCCTCCACAGTCTGCTGGAACATAGAACTCCACTGTTGTTGTCTGGGCATGGACGGGGCAGAACACAGAGCTCCTTTTGCTTTTTAGTTAGTTTAGCAAGCTGAGGCAGTCCGAGTTTTCCCTGGACTGGTTTTCTTTCCCTTTTCTTGGAACTGGTCAAACCTGCTCCTGACTGGGGACCCGGGCATAACACCGAGAGCTTGCACTTTGTGGCCCACCCGGGCCTACTCTGGGCAGCAGCTTTTCCCAGCGCTGGAGGAACTGATAGCAGAGCGACCATCCCCAGGAGAGACTTTCTGAATTTGTCATCTCTTCAGAGCGGCGAATGAGTTTTGTCATCTGGTATTGTTCATTTTGTGTGCTGGGGACTACCGTGCATTGAATGAAGTGACTCCACCACTGAGTGCTGCTGTTCCGGGCATGTTAGAGCTCCAGTACAAGCTTGAGTCCAAGGCAGCGAAGTGGTATGCCACTATTGATATTGCCAATGCATTTTTCTCCATTCCCTTCAGAGCGACGAATGAGTTTTGTCATCTGGTATTGTTCATTTTGTGTGCTGGGGAGTGCTTTGCCTGTTAAATAAACAGGTTTTTTTCACTTGTCTCCGAGGAATTTCTTCCTGAACCGGTTGGGGGGAGGGGCCGTGTGGGCTTGTTTTCTGGGGAGGCCCTTTTGGAGGTTTTCTCCCAAATTTGCCATAAACCAGGACAGGCTCAAAGAACAGTTGCTTCTAAAAATGCACCACAAAAGCAGCTTGCCTAGCTAGTCTGCATATGTGGTGTGATGTCTATCATTAACAGGCATAATAACATTCCCACTGTATCCAAAAAGGCTTTTAAAAGTATTACGTTTCTTTGCTTACATAAAATGACAAGGTTTCAAGTAGATGTGTGTCCTCCTAGAAAATATACTAGTGCATTTTTGTGCATTAATATATATATATTTTGAAGACACAAGTCCCCCTTGGAATTTAACTTACAGTCTGCTAGCACAGTTTATCAAATATACTCTATTTCTTAATGAGAATAGAAAGCTACAGAAGTGAGACATAACTGAAAAAGAAAAGGTAAAAGCCATTCCATGTTTTGAAACAAATCAGTGTCTAATTTACAAGGTACAAATAATTTCAATGCTTTATATGTGGAGCAAATATAATGGGAGTAGAGGGTCTGTCTATTCTACACATGTGAGCAGGCTGACACACTAAAGCAGAATGATAATCCATCTAGTCTACCATTTCTGACAGAGGTCTGCCTAGACACCAGTGTAGACATGCACGAGGTCACATCTAAGGAAGTCTGAATTTTGTATGCTGGTAGAAGAAGAGGACTCAGTGAATCCTGGAACCTGTAGGCTACTCCAGCTTCTACTAACAGTAAAAACACACATAAAACATCTTTAAGGCTATCACTCTTGGGTAGGAATTACTGGAGCATGAAATGCTGCAGATGTGCATGGGGATTGTTTATCCAAATGCCACCCCCAACATATGCTAATGGCAAACCCTGACTGCATGAGCTAGCTATAATGGTTTTAGACTACTCAGAAACTTCCCTAAACCAGAAAGAACTGCACCATCTCCTGATGCCTAACATTAAAAGGTGTAAGTCAGCCAGAAGAGGAATAAATTAATTTTCATGGGGCTCAAGTAACCAAGCAGGGCAAGAGTGTCCTGAGTAATAAACCAGCTGGACTTATAAACAGAGCTTCAAACTAGATTTATTGGAGTAAGGACATGGTTTTCTAGGCATTGAGAAGAGCCAGGGCTGCCAAGGCATGACGAATAAACAGAAAACACCTGTGAATTGCCTCAAGTGAATTAGGGTGAGCTCCTCTAAAAAGGGGATGTGGCTGACAGCCCAGCTGAAGTGCCTCTATACCTGTGTATGCAGCATGGGAAACAAACAGGAGGAGCTGGAAACAGCTGCCCAGATGGAAAACCATGACCTGATTGCTATCACAGAAATTTGGTAGGATGAATTGCATGATTAGAGTGCTATGATTGATGGCTATAAACTATTCAGAAGGGACAGACAAGGAAGGAGAGGTGGGGGAGTTGCTGTCTATGCCAAAACCAGGATTGATTGCATGAAGTGATCTTTGAAGAACAGCTTATGGGTGAAAATTAGAGACTAAGTCAAGAAAGGAAACTTTGTGGTTCAACTGCAGCCTTCAAATAAAGATCCCCTTTTATATTACCTCCTTACTAAAAATATCTCAAGTTTCATTTCCAGGTTGAGAAAAAGGCAACAGCAGGAAGCATCATGGTCTTATGCCCTGATCCTGATAGGGATCTTTAACCACCCAGATATCTGCTGGAAAAAGGTCACAGTGAATTGCAAGCAGTCCAAGAAATTAGTGGAGTGCTGAAGTGAGTTGACTGTGGCCAGACACCAAGTGCCCACCAAGCTGCTCTATCACTCCCCTCTTCAGCAGGACCTGAGAGAGGAGAAAATAAGATGGAACAAAACTCATGGGTCAAGATAAAGGCAGGTTAGTAAAGCAAAAGCAAAGGCCACATGCAAAAGCAAAGGCAGACAAAAGACTTATTCTCTACTTCCCATCAACATGCAATGTCTGACCACTTCCTGGGACAAGGGCTTCGGTATATGTAGCGGTTGCTCCAGGAGACAAATATCTTAATAATGAATGCCCCCTCCTTCCTCCTCCTTTCTCTTTAACTTTTATTGCTGAGCAGATGTTAATATCCTTTTGGTCAGTTGGGATCAGCTATCCTGGCTATGTCCCTTCCAAAGATATTTGCCCACCACGGGCCTACTGTTCTTGGGGGGGTGAAGAGGGGGTATTGTTGGAGAGACAGCCTCAATGACAAAGCACTGGTATGTGATCAACACCTTTCTAGCTACCAATACACAGCACTGTGAGGGCTGCTATGGGGAAAGTTAATTCCTTGTCAGCCAGACCCAATACAAGTGCTTTGAAGACAACTTCCTAGTACAGGTGATGAAGAGCCCAACCAGAGGAGAGGCACTGCTGGACCTGTTGCTCACTAATGCGGAAGAACTTATGGCCTTAACCTGAGACATGAGATTCAGATTAGATATTAAAAAAAAAAAATACTGTTAGGGTGGTGAGGCATTGGAATAGGTTGCCCAGGAAGGTGGTAGTCACCATCCCTGGAGGTGTTTAAGAGGCATCTGGATCTGGTGCTGGGTGATATGGTTTAGGGGTTACAGTGATAGTGTTGGGTTGACAGTTGGACTTGATCTTAAAAGGTATCTTTCAACCTTGATGATTCTATGATTCTAAAGTCTAACTTATTGGAGACGTCAAGATTGGAGGCAGCCTGGGCTGCAGCCATAATGCCGGGATAGAATTCTCAATTTTGAGGGGTACTGGATGGGTAAAACAGTAGTCAGGACCCTAAACCTCATAGAGGCAAACTTTCAGCCATTTAGAGCACTACTGCTTGGGATTCCTTGGGAAACTGCCCTCAGAGATAAAAGAGCTGGGAGCTATTTATGTGATGTTTATATCAGATTGCTGCCTTAGTTCAAACCACAGGAGTTGTATGACTTGAACAAGTTTCTCCATTCTTTCTCAGCAGCAATGACTTACACCATGACAAACATGCTTGTCAAGTCAGACACAGCCCCACCCTTTCCCAGACAAAAGTACAATTTTATCATAACTATAGCAAAGCTATTATTTGGAACAGTATTATTCCACATATAAAAATGTGATTAAGTGAAAAAAAAATAACAATTGTAGCAGAAGAGTGGCAGGCACATTGATTTGAGGCATCTGTTACAAGCGTTTGTCCCTGGAACAGGTGGCATCCAAAACAACAGGGAGAAATTAACATGAAACATAGAAACACAGAATAGTTTAGGTTGGAATGGATCTTAAAGATCACCATGTTCCACCCCCCTAACATAAACAGGGATACCTTCCACTAGACTAGGTTGCTCCAAGCCCTGTCCAACCTCACCTTGAACACTTCCAGGGATAGGGCAGCCACAGCTTCTCTGGGCAACCCATGCCAGTGCATCACCTCCATCTGAATAAAGAATTTCTTCCTAATATCTAATCTAAACTTGCCCTCTGTCAGTTTAAAACTGTTACCCCTTGTCCTATTATACATTCCCTGATAAATAGACCCTCCCTTAAATAAATAGTTGTCTCACCTTTTTATAAGAAGAGAGATCTTAACAGGTTCATTTTAAATCCTTCAAGTTTTCTTTCTTTCAAGCCCCACTTCTACCAGAAGGAAGCCACACAGCTGACACTAGGAAGGAGGGACCTGAGTTTCATTGGGAAAGCAGTTTACCTCACCTCCTGAACACTACTTCTAGCAGAATTTTTTTCAGTGGGAAGTTGAGGGAAGAGAAGCATCATCAGCTTTAGGAATAGAGTCTATCTTTGCTGGCAGCAAAGCACAGAAAGAAAAACCGTAACAATCAAGTTTGTAACTGCCACAAGAAGCAGAATGTAAGTAGGAAAACCCTACATGCAGGACATGAAACATGGTCCTGATGCCTTGCAGTGGCTACCTAGAACAGAGGCTAGACAGAGTTAAAAAAATAAAGTGGGTATTTATTAAAGGCCTTCAATAGATACACCTTGGGCAGTGCAAAAGCCTTGCAGAGACTACATCCAAGATGGATGACGGTCATGAGTTTCTCAGACGGATAAAAGTTTGGTCTATTTGCATATCAGAGGTTAATTCTCCAATTATAACTTTAGGTAATGAAATCATATTGCTCCAGTTTGCTTCCCCCCCCCCAACTTAAGGCATCAGTCCCAGTATCAACAAGCCTGTCTTCTGCTCCCAATTCTTACCCTGTAGCAGCAGCAGCAGCAGCTTTTCCAAACACCAGATACTTAGGTCCCTCCTCTACTTTTCTCACATAGTTTTAGGGAGAAAAAGTGTTCAGGTTCTTTTACTAATTTAAGGATAGGATATGAAATTGGTGTATCTAGCTTACTGATCATGCCAGTCCTGTTTGCTACACTGTTCTACACACACAGAAATTATAATATATTTCTTTACAAATGCTGTATAAATGCCTCTTAGCTATCAAAAAGCCCATGCAAGAAATAATACCTTCACCACATCTGTGAGGGAACAAAGCAGTAGCAAGATGTCTGTCCTCAAGTCCCTCTCCCTATTGTTTATGTTTCCATTAAAAGTGTCAAAACAGACATACCTTCTTTTAAAACCTAACTTTCTCAGAGTAACTCTATCTAGCTTTAATGAACTAGGTATGCCAAAATATGGTAGCCACAGCAAGTAGTAAACTACCAAGAAATCAAGTCTGGCTACAACTTTTTAGTCCTGGACCAGCTGCAAGATATGCTGAGAAACAGGGGTCTCTGCTTTATGTTGTTATATTCATTGTTGGATTTGAGCTATAAATAAGATTTAAGTGTCTCATTTTTTCAGCATTTTATAATATGCTTGCAGACAGTAAGAGTGCACTGAATTTCACTGCAGCTATACAAATAAGCCCCATAGCTGCCAGCAGGAAATGCATTCAAGTTTTAACTTACATTGCTTGGGTAGGGCTTCTGCCAATCTTCTCAGGCTAGTCAAACTGTCAGCTCCAAGCTGATTTAAGATGCTAGGAAGCATTTCTGTCAGCTGCTTTGTCTCAGCATGGCCAGTGATAGTGAAAGTGTTAGCAGCCAGGGATGCCTGAACTTTAGGGTTATTGAAGTGAATGACTGTTCCTTGGTTGGTGAACATATTTACCTGCAAGGGGAAAAAAACAAAACAAAACCAGTATTTCAAGCAGTTTAGCATGATTTTTCAATTTAACAGGAAACTAGTTCAAGTTCCTAAAGCTCAGTTAAGCACCTATAGATAATTTACAGGCAAGTTTAACATGTTACTTTCAAGGAAATTATGTTTTATACATTTTATACTTCTATATAGAAAAGCATTTTCCCCTTTCAAGAATTACCTCTTCGATTCCAGAAATATTGTTGACACCCAGCTTCTTCAAAGAAAACTGAAGTTTCTTGTCATCTGCTGTAGCTGTTCTATGGACAACCTTCTTCTTTCTGCGGGCAGTACCCTTTGCAAAAAAAAAAAAAAAAAAAAAGAATTAATATTTAATTAGTTATTTGCAAACTCTAATTCTTGTGGCCATATAACTACTCTTCAGCCATCTACAAATCAACTTCGTATGCAAAGTTCTATTTCTGTGTTACAGCACACACAACCCCACTCCTTCAACTGTACTGCAACAGTGTTTCCTTGCTAAAGCAAGCTGTGCTGGTTTTGCATGAATTGATTTGTAGTGTTATAGATACATACTGTAATACTGACTTTTCACAAATATTAAAATGGATTTATATGTGTAGTGTTAAAGTAACTTTGATATAGTTTTTATTTCTGTTATTAATGAAGCTTAGACATAGTAGTGAAATAGCTATGCTTGTGTTAAAATGCCTGCTTGGATGGGATAACATCCAATGAACATAGGATGAGGACACCTGATACAGATATGCCAACTATCAGCACTCACTGTCTGAAGAAAGTATGGACCAAGGCCCAAACTGGAAATGATAAGGAGAAGGAGGCAAAACCACAGCCAAAAACCATGCATGCTCTAAAAAGGCAGACCTAAGGAGGGGCCATGTAAAATAGTTTCTAGAAAATGTAAACTATTTTGGGGGAAAAGTTTACTATGCATAAGGGTCTATGAATATGCAACAAGCTGACGTAATGGAAAAGGTATTTAAGGGGTATCCCCAAAGATAAGTGTGGTCTTGGCTGAGTGCCAAGATGCACTCAGCCATAATAACCTTTGCTCTATGGTCCTTGTCTCCTACTGTCCTTTATTACACTTTTTAAATTTTCACAGGAGAGTGAACGTGTTTTTCACAGTAGTGAAGAGGGAAAAACGTCAGCCACAGAAGTTATTCTCTATGAGGAGCTACTAAGAACTTGCTCCGTGCCTGATAAAACCAAGCAGTGATTAGTTTTGAATATTAGCTGTGAAAAATGCGTATTTTATGATTGGCTTTTTGCAAATATTAAAATGGATATTATATGTGTTATGTTAGAAAGTTATGCTGTATTAATTTTCTTAAGTAGTGTGTTAAATATAATTTTAGGTTATAACGTAATGCTAAAATAGAAACTATGCTATGTAAGATACGTTTTTTAAAGAGAGGACTTGCACCAAGATAGCAGCCACAGGACACCTAAATCTTTCAGAGAAAAAGAATTTATTGCTCTCTTATCAGAAGAAACTAACTTCTTACCGCCTTGCTCAGCCCTGAAGACACGGTTAGGATTCAGAGGAAGGAGTTGACACTGACCAGACAGAATCCTTTGTTTGAATGGAATTTATGCATCATGTATGAGGTGTATGAATATGCAACAGGCTATTGCTTTTAAGGGTTAATCCTCTGTTCACTGGTGTTGATGACTCTCTGTGTGTGGAGACACAAAGCTTGACTCCATTTCAGAAGGCTGATTTATTATGTTAAATATTATATTAAAATGAGGATGGTGTCTAACACCTCGCTGCCAGTGCTTTAGGAGAGTCAGGGTGAGGAAGGCGTGCCCTGCCCGATTAGGCAGCCTCGCTCTGTTTCCCCTAGTGTGACCAACAGACGCAGGTTACGATCGGTGGACAAAAGGAGGCAATAAAACAAAGAAAAGGGGAAAAGTCTCCCTAGAACCACGGTAATTGGCCCCCTAAGACTAGTAGTGCGCACGAAGAACCCGGAAAGGAAAAAGGATTGGTAAGTACTTTTCAGCGGGGCGGGTCTGGGGGATGAATGTGTGTGAATGAGAGGCGGGCTGCTTGTCCCAGACCTGCTACCCGAGTGTGGAGTCTCCCATGCTGCGGTTCTGTCTTTCCGCAAGGAAAACGGCCAGTAAAGAGACGAAGTGAATGTTAAAAGGAGTGAGAGAATCCCCCGGGATAA